TAAGAAATTTACGAAACTTGTAAAAAACTACTGGAGCAATGATTAGCCATGAAAGATGTTTCTTCACTCAATGTTTGTCACGCACACAATAAACCATGTCGTATTAAGACTTTTACTGCTGAATAGCTTGTGCACCACCGCTTTGTCATGTGCCTGTCTAGAACCAGAGACACAAAAAGTCTCATTCGTGTTGTTATCCAATGTACACTGTAATTTTCTCCTCTACCGACTTTTAAAAGCCAGGACTAATCTTTCAAACATGTGCTGGTCTCTTCCTGATACAGGATAATCCAATCTCAATGAGTCCTTGTTTGTTTTCCAAGCCCTTCAGAAATCCACTAAAAAGGAGGAAACCACATAAAAACAAAGCAATCAGACAAATCAGCAATAATTGATGCATTCGTAGCCATCTGCCGGTCTGCCCAATGACCAAATTGCATGCCTGAATATACTGCATGACTTGATCGTGCCGCCTCGCCTCTGGATACAAACTTCGGAATGACAACCAGGAGAGTCTGATCTGGCCGAACTAAATTGCCTTGCCGGAGAGCGTGACAAGTTTGCACAAGCCACATTTACCCTGGAAACTTCTCAGTGGGAGCAGATGGGAGACAAGACCATGATGATGTCCAGGGTCTTGATCTGATAATCCTCACCTGCTCTGAACATGATATACAAGACTTGGAAGAAACTGCAGGGTTCAGTTACACAACGCTTAAAGAAGAAGAAAACGGTAGTTATTGCACATTTTTATCAAGGTGGATTGGTGGTTTGAAGATTATAAGAACAGGTACTTTGTCAAGAAAATGGGAATGCCACTTGAGATGAAATTATTAATCTGAAAGCTTAGAGCTACTTATTATACTTCCTTTGACACTAAAGTACAAAACTAACAGCATCACTGCTTAGCTGTTTGTACATTTATATCAATGAACCAATTAACACGATCACACTGTACTGTACCTAAATGTAATGGTAATTACATGTACGCTGACATTTGCACCCTTTCACACTGCATTTCCACCTGATGGTTTCAAAGAGTGGTACATGACCACAGCCAACCTGTCAAAAAGGCCAAGAACAGTTCTGTGAATGCTGATGATTACACATAGCATCTGCAACCTATAATCTAGAAATATGGCAGGTCTTACCCTGACAGCACCTGCTGGGAGCAGTCCTTGAATTTTCCATTTAAGTATTGGAACAGGTGGATGACGAATAACTTCTTTGCACAAACTGATCTTCACAGGAAATAATGATAAGTTACTGATGAGCAATATCTCTAAAAGTCAAAACTAATTAATACACATACATGTAGTCAAAGTGTTGCACAAGAACCCCCCCCCAGCACCAGCTGATCTACAAGAGGGGGATTGGAAGCTTTGAACCCTCAGTTAGGGTGCTTTAAAGAAATTTAAAAATTAAAGAACAGTACCAGGTGCCTGTTTAATACAGTATTAACATTTAACACCCCAAGCCAAACCTGAATGAGCAGGACACTTGCTGTGAAGGGAGGGTAATACAAGTTGTCCAAATAACCAAAAGCAAAACCAGGTGTATTTTCTGAGGGAATTAGCAGTGTAATTAATCTTGAGTGAGCATTTCAAGTGTTAGTATTTTGCGTATGTATGTGCCAATGTACACAAATACACTGGTGTTCCATTCCTAAGTTTATAAGGATCTAGTCCATCTTGTGTGCAGTGGTCCAAGCTTCAAGATGCTCCAAGATCAAGGACAACACCGGTAAAACCATCTTTTTCAGTAGGATCAGTAAAATTAGAGAATTTTAATATAAGTAAAACCAAGCCTGTGGCCGTATGGTACCAAGACCCAAGAATTTACGAAAACTGCAGAAAGAGTTTTTGTCTCCTTTACATCAGGACCCGCAAACGTTAACCATGTCTCCTCTTGTTCATTTGCAAGAGCTTATTTCACAAGAATTAACCTCACAAATTGGCTTGAAATCCGGGTCACCATTAGCCCTTTTACAGCAAAAGGCTTAAGCTGCACAATGGGGTCTACTGTATTACTGTTTGATTCTGGTCAGTGAATTGAAATGTCAACAGAGAACAATTCCCAAAGTGCTGTTTATGTTTCATCCCCCCTTAAAAAATCTGGCTCCAATACAATGTTTGCACAGTCATTGAGGTGGCCAAGTTTTTCTTGTTTTGTTCAGTGGAGTTACTACCTCGGAAATGGGGAAACTGGGGTGTTCTTTTGTGGGAAAAGGGCAGGTCATGAAAAGGGAACACAGACCCTGCATTATGGGGAGAGGGTCAATGACTTGTTGTCATCAGCATTTGTGGACATTCATACTTATAGTTCTGCCAAACGATTGAAAGATCTTGTTTGACATAAATATATGTGACTACTTAGCCTTCAGCACAAAGACCCTGAGTTTGAATCCAATTTTGTTCAACCTGATTGTAGGTGCAATTTTTCAAAAGGCATCTCATTAGGTACAGATGTTTGTGGTAGCACCATGCAAGAATATCCCCATGCTTACGTAAATTCAGCAGCTTCATCGTTGCAACCTCTGCAGTCTCCTAATAATGGACAGAGCATACTGTCCAAAACATTGAGTACCCCCTCCCATTCCTTTCAGAACCACACGTGTTCAGAAAGAGATATCCTTGCATGGTGCTACCGCAAACCTCTACACCTAACTTGCCACCTTCAACACGAAAAGCTTGAAAGCTCAGTATCTCACTACCTTCCCCAGACTGAATTGTTTTAATCCATATCGGAATACACTTGGTACTAGCATCTGAAATGCACAATTGAGAACTTCACAACCCAGACTGCACAGGCCCGTCATTAAACTGATATCACTGACTCCGTAAACTATGTTTGACTGCACTGCAGAACTTCGAATCCCATAAAGTTAAAAATTTCATTCAGCATTTCTAAAATTTTATCCACTCCTCTAATACTGATAACTTTAAAGAACTGACTTGGAATGTCACCATAAGTTACCACCCACCTCTCCAATAAGGCCTTACCAAACTATAAACCAAACCTGCCTCGAACTCTGCTCAGCAAAAGATCTCAGACACTGGGGAGGAATCATCCATGTGCAGCATGAGGCCCAGCCCCCTGGATCAATTTATTTCCAGCTTTCACCTCTGAGCGACCTCTCAAAGCACCTCTCTAATAAATCATATCACCCAGCCAGTCTTTTGATAGAGACTGGAGATTTGTTTTCTTCTCTTATATACATGTAGTGAATCTGAATTGCTTTCCCCACAAGAATTTTCACAGGTCACTGGACTGTACTTTTTTGGGGGGTAGTGCACCCACCATTGGCCTTAAACCTTGTGCTACAGTTCATGTATACATACATTTGCACAAGCACAGGAAAATTTCAGTACACTTTAGGTTTTGAAACTGTGGATTGATGCCTGAATGTGAGAACGGCAGAAAGACTCAGGTATGCATGAGTGTGTGAACTGCTTCATGAGTGTAAAAGACTTGAGCCACTGGAACTTAATGGTTCAGACCACTAGAAAAAGGTGAGAATCGACCACAGAGTACTAACAGTGGGACTGCTTTACAAACTTGTGCAATTGTACCTGTAAGCATTATCAGCAAGGCATAAATTTTGGATCCACACAAGGAACTAATACATACTGTACATGTAAGTGCTCTTTCACTACATGTATTATCACGGTTGAAAAAAAGGAAACATGTTATTTCCATGATAAAAAAAGATCAAATAAATCTTGTCTACATGTACACGTACAGTATGTGTCCGTCCACCGGAATTCGTAACATAATGCTTGAATAACAAATAGGCCTGTATTTCATATTCCATTCACACAAGCACACACAAATACTTGGCAACTTTTTGCTTGGGGTCACACTAAGCTATGAACCTGCAATATGCAGTGAACATTTAGGGTCTACTCCAAATTACATATATTTATTCCAGTTATATACGTTAAAGCTTATTAAGTGGAATTTTGCAGGTGTAAGCATCAGAAGTAAAATGTAGGTTGATAAAGTTGAATGAACCTTCTCCTTACTGCCACAAAACCTTTTGAGACCCCCACCCAAAGAAAAAGAACAACTTGATCAGCCACTTCTCAAAATCTTTTCACATCAAATGCTTAAAGATGACCTTTCACAACCTCACTAACTACTTTTTACAGGGTCATTGCTATGGTAACACAGTCAGCATCTTTCCTGGGGGCCAGGAAGCAAGTCCCCTGCATGGGAAAGCTGAAACCTCAACAACATTTACAGTGACCTGTGTAAACAATGCAGTTGCCGATGTGTACTGCGGAGCATCTGAGCAACACTTGTTCAGAATATTTCATTTCGGGAGGAGGAGGTGGAGGTGGGATGGGGATATTTCATACAGGTAGATGTTGCTTCGAAAACCCAACTCTTTCAGGTTGGTGACATTGGTGAATCTACCCACGTCTCGAACCTTAGAGCTGTACTGTGTGTTTTCCAGACATTATGTGGGAGGAGGTACAGATATTAAACTGGATGTCTTTTCCAATATTGGAACCAGGAGTTTCATATACAGGTACATGTATATTCCTTTAGGAATTTCTTATATTTTGTCTCCATGTATGACACATACTGGTGATCTTGAAGTGAAGAGCCTTCATGAAAGCTGAGCAAATTTTCTTATTTCCTTGAGTAAGCTGTGCATGAAAAGAATAACTGTAATCTGCACAATTCAAAAATACATCTTTTTCTTACAAAGTAAACTTCAGGCAGATTTGTTTAAAGTAAGCAAACTTTCATTTTTTTATATTCAACCTCGAAGCTCATATTTTCTGTAGACACAGGCCTATATGTATGTTCATCCATCTCTTTAAATGCAGTACATATCAAATGTATAATTTTTCAAAGTTTTACAAAGTCTCAATACTCTTTTTGTAAATGTTCCATGCTGTTGATTCAGATGTTCCTTAAAATATTTCTAGTCTTGTCATGCGTGTGTTTTTAAATTCTTGAACCAAGCAGAAAAATTGGGTGAAACTTACCCAACACCAAGTCTGCCTTGATGTGGAGATGGATTCTTGGAGTGAAAAGCTCACTTTTTATCGTTGGTTCTAATGATAGCCAAAAATAAAAAAAACCAATCCTGGATTTATTGGTGCAGTTCCGATGATATTTGAAGCACTGTGATGTGAAGAGGTATCACTTGTCTCAAGGCAATCAGAGGTGATGAGTTATAAGAAATCCTCAGTTCACTTCTGAGACAGACACCAGGATCTTGCAGATGAGTGGCCAAGGTGAAGGTGTATTTGGTTAAACTGGAACCATCACTGCATCCAACATTAGATGGTCACACTAAATGCCCCCCACAACTGTAAATATTCAAGATGGAATGTGATCCACACACCCTCAACTGGCACTTCTCAGTGCTGGTTTGTGAGGTGGTTGACTGGTAATTCCACTCTTTTACAGCTTCACAATGATGACAATACTGGTGCTATGGAGCCCCTACCACTGTGGACAACAGCATAATGATCAACGTGCAGGGCTGTCACAGTCTGTGGGCATTTAGTACACACATGGTGACTTACACTTTTTACCAAGGACTGATCCATTGTGAAGGCAGGAGGGGAAACATGGTAATTGAGGGACCATGTGCCTCTGTTTAATAATCATGTTGGAAAAAAAATGTGTTGTCCTGAAGCACTATGGTGTACATGATCAGAACATGGATGGTGCAATGTATGGTGAAGAGAATTAATACATGGCCGAAAGAATTACAAGAACAAATTGAGGGCTAGTTGTCCTCCTGGTGTGATTCATTGTTGGGGGGGGGGAGGCAGTATATAATTGATGAGGTTTGCTCAAGCACACACATGCTTGTAATATGCAGGCATGGTTAATTTCCACAAGTGCATACATGTACATGCCAGTACTACCTTGCAACATCAGACAAGATATGCTAGTAATAAACCCAACCAACCAAAAAAAAGCCTGTTTAAAAAAAAAAAAGCAAAACAGTCAACTCTCGCACACGGTGATGGTGAGAATCACTACTCAGGTCCAATGTAGGTCTCACACTCTCACGCTAGTGTGGGATTTCTCATAAAAACTAAAAAGATCTGATACATTTTTATGTCAGTTGCCGTTTAACGTCATGCATGTTTTGTGTCAGTTTTTTGGTTGCATTCAACCAGGGACACAGAGCAACAGAGGGCCATAGGGCCCGTAATTCACTGAGGGGCCCTGATTGACAATTGTCAATTGAGGCCTTCAAAAAAAGTTAAGGAAACATGAAAAGAGATTTGTATGATTTGAATACATGTAGAAAAGCTGTCTTGCAATGCCTTCCAGTATAGAATATACTATACTATATATATACTATATAATATTCCAGTATATAGTATGACCTTCCACTTTCTTTGTGACAACAGAAAGGAGAACCCTCAACATTTTGTTTTTCATGTTAATGAAAATTTCCATGTACATGAGCTTAAGTTTGGTGTCATCCACGGCAGAAAAGAAGTATTTTGATCTCCATAACTCGTTGTACAACTATTATCACACTTTTCTACATTGTCTCGAAGAACATTTCTGTTTTTACTTATTTATTGTGTGAAGTATCTTGCTTAGACAATAGTAATGGCCAATGTTTCTTCAAACTTTATTGGGGGCAATTGTGAAGGACCTTTTTTTTAACTTTTTCTTATGCTCTTTTGACAAGCAGTGCCATCTTTGACAAAAGGAAAATTGAGCCCTCCACAGTGTACTGATGAGGATATTTACCACCACCCTCTTGTCACTTTTAATGAAGAGAAGTATTTAGATTATGTTTGTATTGTTGCAAAACATAGTAGTTGAGCTGAATGTCCATTGCATACTTCTTTTAAACTATGAAATAAGAATCTCCACTGCAGGCAAATACATGTACCAGTACACACTTGTCTCGGTGGGGCAAAAGTCTGTGTCTAAGAGTCATTGCTACATGTATAATGTCTATTCTCACCCTCAAATCTTATTTCATGATGGCAGCCTTGAAGTTACTGGTACCATTAAATGTTAAGACTAACTTTAGCTATGTCCAATTGACAAGAAGAAAACTTTGCTAGCTCTGCATAAAATAGCGGTACATGTACATATAATTAAAAAATGCACATTCTGCTAAAACATTGGCTGTTACTTAAAATGAAAACAGGGGACACTGGTCGGACCACATGACTCAAACCAGAAAACTGTGGTGATGCTGCAAACCTTCCACACTTTGCTTTCAATGTAGTGTGGAGGCTCCAAGTTGAATGACGAAGTATACATCCCCCTCTTTCAGCCATCAATTTAGTACTGACCTGGGAACATTTCTAGGTGGACATTTGGGAGAATTCCCAGAAATTAAATCACCAGGCTTGAATCTTGGTGACCATGAGCAACCTCTTAACCAGGCTAGAGTACATCTGTCATCCAAAGTACTGAGATTCCAACTTTCTTTTACAATGAAAAACTCAACAATTGGAATTCTGCTACAACATTTGCTGGATTTAAAATTCGTGTTTTTTATTTTGAAAAGAAGTTTTTGATAAATAATAACGAATGATACTGCACCAATATATGGATGCTGACGACAAATCAAAATTAAACTTATCTGTCCTTATACCAAGAAATTATTATAATTATTTAGGTTCAACCAAGAACATACAATAAAACCAGCCAACCTTTGCCCTTAAAATGGTTGGTCATGGACTGGTCAAAGAATTAACTAGGAAGGGCAATGCCACCCTGTTGAAGCTGACAAAGCCACTGTCTCAGTGAACTAATGATGCGTAACTCAGGCAAGGAGAGCCAAAGCTCTTGACCCACACTGAAAAGAAAAGGAAGGTGGGGACACTGACGGAGGCAACACCCTCAGTAGTTTCAGAAGGTAAAGTGGCAGTCAGATGATAGAGTCAACAATATCACGTACATGTAAACATTGAAAACCTGCACATAAATTACTCCTTTTGATAATACAGATTTGCTGAAATGAGTCCAGCCTCATTTACCATTACACGTACAGGTACTACTGTGCAGAATGACCTTTGGAACTTTTATGTTATGCACACTTGTTGGTAACTCAAATTTTCCAATAAAAGGACCTCAAATTGAAAAAAAGAATCTTAAGAAATATTTCAAGTTTCAGTTCCTCAAAAATGTACAGTCTCGTCCAAGTTTTGGTCCAAAATTATTGTCTGCTTATCCTTGCCTCATTTTTGCATTTAAAGAAATTTGTTTCTCATTCCTTTTTTTTTTAAAGGGATTTAGGGATAGGGTTGAGAAGAGTTCCGGATATTGCAGCTACCAGTTCACAGGAAAAGATGAGCATGAAGCTGATGTGTAAGTTTGAATCCCTGATCTTTAGACCACACAAGAGTGACTGTTCAATTTCTGGAATTCCTCAGCTGTGTTGGACAACCAACTCTTGTTCACCCACTCCCATTGTTGTAGCATTTATGGCCCTTTTTTCCAAGCATAATATAAAGAGTGCATTCGGTCAGAAATGGGCTAGCAAAGGCAGGATGCAAATGTGTGCCCCTCTATTCAAATGAACACAATTGAACACCCGGCACCGACTTTAAGGTCAGAATTGGTTAGACTTAGTAACTGTCTAAATGACAAAGCTTTTTTATGTTCATGGAAATTACTAGAGAGGATGCCCTTGCACTTTGAGTCAAGCAGAAATTTATGCTCTTGACTGTGATAGCTTGTACTACACATTATGCCCACTTTATACTTCAATTTTTGTAATCTTTTTTTCCTGTTTCTGCCTCTGTTGTTTTTTTTACCTTCTTCAGTTCCACTGCTGTCAAGGTTCACTGTCTCCTATCTTGTTATCCTGCCACGGTATCATTGTCATTGACGGCAGATGATGACACAGACGCAGCACATCCACTTTGGGGGAGAAAAAAGAGGGAGTCTGGTAATTATCACAAATGGACGGCTTTCAGCGTGCTCATAAGTCAGAACTGCTTTGAATCAGGATGTGCGTGAGACACATTACCGCTTAATGCAACTGACAATGGGGGGTTAAAAAAGCCTCATTTTTAACAGCTCTCCATCACAACTTTTGAGATGGATGAAAAATATCCTCTCAAAATGCTTTTTGCAGAATTGGAATACCACGCACAAGAAATTGCACACCCTTCACCCCCCCTCCCAAATGGTTGAAAGTACAAACGGAAAGATGTTCTCTGGGGTGGATCCAGTGGGGGGGGAGTGGGCAACAAAGACCATGTCCCCCCCTATAAACACACACACCCACACAAAACAGCCCATTTTTTTCGATTAAATAGTGACAAAAAGTGAAGTTTTGTTCATGTTATCCGTCTTCCTTCCAAAGGCGTCCATGTACATAGCCCCAAAATATAGCCTCATCCCTCAGAAAGGCCACCATAGCTTACATGACAAAAAATTCCACTTCTCCGATTCCAAATTTTGACCCCCCCACCCCAAAAAAAGGTTTTTCCCCCAAAACAAAAGGTTCTGTATCCATCCTTGGATGCATTTTGAAATCGCCTTTCAAAAAATTTTCAAATTCACACAGGGCATCTGCTCTACAACAGTTGAAGAGGGTAATTGAAATGACGCTTGAGGCCACAAAGGACACCTTAATCCTTCACTTTGCTATGAATTACCTACCCTACTTTTCCTGGGTCTGCTGCCTTGCCAAGTGAACATTAAAACCATGCTGAACATGTATTTTTATGCCCATGGGAGATTATGCTCAATACCCCCTAAACTGACTGATCAGGTTTCCTTATTCCCTGGCATAACTTATCGAAATGACTTTCAAGGGAACTGCATTTTTCTCCTTGAACTGACAATTCTGCTGTCTTTTGTTGAAAATGCAAGTAAAATCTAGTTGGCATGATAATTTGTCTCAAAATTCCTTACAGTAAGAATCCTCATGATTTCCAATGCAATCCATCATGACTATAATGTAGGAGACTGCAAATACAAATTTGTAATTACAACATGACTCTGCCTCGATCACCACTGACCTGTGATTGGACCATGAAATGCCAAAATGTGAGTGGTCTCCGGTGAGGCAGTTTAAAAGGTCTGGGACAACTACAATGAAGGCTGACAAACAGCAATTTCCCTAAAATTGCACACCTACACGCGTGCGCACGCACGCACTGTTTGTTGCCAGCAGCATTAACCTCGCTGGCCCTAGCCAATCAACTGCTGCTGCTGCCAGTTGAAGTTTGTCACATGATCCTAGAATTCAGTTTCTGGGTCATTATTTGGGTCAGAATCGGACAGTTCTCAGTAAATTGAATCAAGAGGAGTCCTGTACTGAAAATGATTTTTTTTAATGGAGGGGTCACTGTTCTGTGATTGTTAATGTTAAGGCAATCAGGGTTACCAGTTTACCAAAATAAATTCTAAAATACAAATGCTAAGACATCAAAGTAAAGGAACGGTTCCTCAGTGTTAAACTCAACATTTGTAAAGAAGTTGAGACAAGTTTACCCGATCAATGTACATATGTACACATAGATTGATAGGGTAAACTTGTCAAAAGTCCGTTCCACTCTGTTGGCTCCATAAAGACACTCATTTATGTCATTTATGATCTCCATCCAATTTAAACTTAATTTCAAAATTTGTTTGATCCTAAAAAAGTGAAAAGAGCTTTTCATCATCTTCAAAAATTCTCAAAAATTGTGCAGCATGTATGTAAATTAAATTTATACCATTAAAAAAACTAGAATGATAGCATACATGTACAAATATAATTTTAAACAGTGTACCATGTTTGGGAATAGGCATGATATCCAATTAAACCCCAGCTCTTACAAATTTGAACCACTCCCCTCCTACCTTTATCAGCCTCCCTAAAGGTACTGATCCAATTATTTTTTTTTAAATTTGGTCAATGTCTGATTAACACTGAGACATTTTGTTTCATCACATTTCACATACCCAAGCTCAGCCTGAGGGTGCATTTTGTTAATTGGAGTGAGTCAAAATAAACCAGTTCCCACTCCCCTAATAAATTGTTCGGCAATCGCTTTGTGACCTGACATCCCAGGGCCCTGCCCCAGTCCCACTCTCCCTTTGCAGGACTTTTGCTCAAACATATAGGGCCATTATCATCACTTGCATCAGTTCTAATTCCCCTAACAACATCGCTCTTTGCGTTATTACACATAATCCCAAGTGCTCCCTCTAGCAAAGTTTATTTTAATATTGGTGATAGCGTTGCAGGGATTGATGCCGAATGAATACAACTGTACGTACACAAAATGGATGTATGCGGAATTGTGCTTGGAAATTTAGCTCACAATTTCTGGTTGTAAGTTGCACCAAAAGATTAATGATCAATGCAGGTTTTGGAAATAAGATCAATGGAGTGTATCACGGAATTAATCTTGTTTATCCATCGCAAAGTACCATATTTTACTATGAGGAAGTAGGATGTGTGTTGCATTGCAAAGTTCATGGTACCGTTCACACAGACGAAACTTGAAGATCATGCAGACCCAGGCCATGTCTCAATATGGACCAAGTTGGTATCAACAGTCGTGGATACATATTGTAATGCATGCATATTGTAACTGTTCAATACGGTGTCACTGATTACGATGGCATTAGCTATATGATTTGTAATTGATTAAGTTGTGAATAATGTTTGATTTACATACATGTACAAGTATGTACATGTAGAAGTACGTAGAATTACTAAAAGACTGTCACAAAAGTGGCTTTAAAGAACAAAAGAATTGCCAAAAACAAAACAAAAAACCAACAGGGTAAATGTACAATTAGAATTCTACTCCTTACTTCAGATATTTTCAAACTAGTGGTATATTACCCTGAACGTTTCCCTTTAAAAATCACACAGCTCGCACCTTCTTTGGCAAGTGAAAAAAGCGATATTTTGGCCTTTATACCAACTGTTGTCAACATGACAATTCAAGAGGGCCTTAAATTTGCCAAACACAAAATACATTAAGCTGATACATTCATGTTTAAAAATGGAGGAACTATTAAAGTCCTGGTAATATGGGGCCTCAAAGAATCACAATTTCTCACCTGTTTCAAACTTTAACCCCAAGGTATTAGCTTGATATATAAAAATTATTTTGAAAAACATCTGACCTGTTTCAAAGTTTAAGTGCTAAGCAACAGTTTGGTTACAAACTTATAAAAAAAAGCAAATAATTAAACTAAAAAGAACAAATGACCAACAGGCAAAAAGAAAACAGAGCAAGTGCAAGTAACAAAAGTTTTTGGCAAAAATAGAAGATCCAAGGTTTGTTGTACATCCATTTCCACTGTTCAAATGTTGAGCTGAAACTGCAAGACAATGAGGCTTCTAAAAAATGAAACACTGGCACCAAAAGTCCCCGCGCTCCCACAGATTAATGTGCCTCCTACGCTAAGCGCATGTAGGCAAAGCTAAGCGCATGTAGGCAAACCAAAAACTATGCAGGAGCATAAAACAAACTGGTGCCTTGTGTGACCTGCTTTCAGGCATCAAATTCAATTTGATGGGATTTGATCCGGGCAGAAATGACATGGGAGTTTGGACTAATAACCACGTGTCGCTGAGCCAGATGCATTCCAGCTGCATGTCAATCAGGGAAGGGGAGACGAGGGATGAAGCTCCTCTTTTATTTATTCAAACAAAGTCATCGGTCGCTGCTCATGCTATGTTGCATCTCACACCAGCCGCAAAGAAATACCACCTGCCCTGAAGCTCATTTGCGATTGACTCCTATGATTACAGTGCACAGAATACAGTACCTGGAGGGTTTGTTTTCTGAATGAGTTTAGGAAGCATGCTTTAGATGTACATGTAAAACAAGCACAGGCATCATAGTAGAACTGGCCATTCTTGTGGATCTGAACTTTGAGAATTCTGGGCTGTTTTTTATTTCTGTGGATTAGAAATCTTGCTTTTTGATCATCATTTCAAACGTGCCAAAAGAGAAAGTCTGCACTGATGATGCTGTCCGGGAAAAAGTTTGGAATCTTATTACAAAGTTGAAACTCGTGTGATCATGGCAAATTCCTGATCAGTGAAATGTACTAATTATAAATGAAAATGTTTGTTCAGTTGATCACCGGTGAAGTTGGCAAAAACTCTTACTTACAGCTGCAGCACAAGCACATCAGGAGCTTAGTATGTTTAGTTTAGGGAAAGTCCAGGATCTTAAAAACAGGGAAACTACATGTAAATTGTGTTCAGGTACATTTAAGTTTCATTCTAAGCAGATTTCTTACAGGTTTTGTGGAGGGGCATTGAGTCACATTAACTTCTTTGTCCATGCCATTAGTAATTAGGAACCAATTCAAAGCACAAATTTAAAACAGCATACAGATACTTTTAATCAAGATAACAACCAAGAAACAAGCAAACAAGCAAGAAGTAGGCAAACATGGGAAGTAAATTTAAGCACACAGTGTAGGACTCCACTTAAACAATATATATGTTATTCTGTTCATAATTTAGCCAACCACTTCCCACATCAAAAGTTTTGAGGCAACATACCTCATTCCTCAAAAGTCAGTCTGATGGATCCTCGACAAGTTCCAAGTGGAAATTGAACAAGTTCCTGGTGGGAATGTAAGGCACTGCAGCATCTGATGTTGTAAAGCAAAACACTGCTGCAATGCATACATGTAGCAGAGCCGCACACCACCTCAGAAACAAAAGACATGGCAAGACGGCACTTTCTAAAAAATAAAATAAATAAAACCAATAAATTCACAGATGTTGCTACTGCTCATAGCTCATTACGAAACAAAGGGTAATGTATACGCACAGGAAAAAGTGCATGTACGTCCACACATGTACATGTTCGTAAGGATTGAAATCTTAATACTTTTCCCATGAGACTTGGAGATAAAACCTCCAA